AGTGCCTCTTTACAGTCAAAGTAAAGGTAATTTTCCCTTGTGACTTTATGTATATCAGTGACCCAATTAAACATATACAATTATAATAATTTAATATGTGAATCTCTACAGCTGTTAAAACACAACATTTAATTAAAAAAGCATGAAAAGAGGGATATTAACTATTGCTAATGTGCTTTCCTATGAGCGAAACTAATTTGTACACAAATTTCTCCACAAAGGCAGAAAGGCCAGTCTGGGCTTGTATGCAAACCCCTCATGGACTGTAGCACTGCAGTGGGTTCAGTTGGTGCATGTTTAATAACTATTAATGAGTTGATTCAAATGTTCAGACTCCCTCTACCTCCCAGAGTGCAGTCCCACAAACAGCGGACATTTGTTTGTATTCTGGCTCACATATTGTTATGTGCCTTTTTGCAGTGTTTATCAGGAATCCGAGTGGACTGACAGCTCATTAGCCCTATTTCCTGTAGCTGGGCTGACCTGCTTGGTAATGAGGACAAGGTGCACGCTGTAAATCGGTCATAAATGTGTATGAATTAGAACAGAGTCTGGGCTGTGTTAAAAGAATTCTTTGGATTTTGGCACAAATATTCAATAATAAAATGTATATGGGGTACCATGTGGGTTGTCTTACACTGTATGCGCTTTTTGAGGTGTTGCTTTTTTCAAGGTTATCAAGGGTAGTCATGCATTTTTTGTGACCTGCGCAGCTCTATTTATGCAGAAAATTCCATGTGCCCTGTGTTGAAACCCAAGTCATTTTCGTGTACCTGACCAGTGGTGGGGGCTCAGTGATGCTTCCCTGAATTAAGAACCATGTATTTGCTGGCTTTTTTTAGCTTTTGTTAGCTGATTGAGCATTACAGTGCTATTGTTGCTTAGCAACAATAAATGCATTTAAAAGCGTGAACCCCAAAGGAAATAAAAGACTGCAGTGTTCAGACAAAAATGCATTATGAGCGCCCCCCAACTGTGTTCAAGGGTCTGTAATATCCAAATAAAAACTATAATCAATACAGTTTTAACACATTTACATAAAAGAAATATGTTTTAAAAAAAGAGTAAATGTGTTTATGGCTTCCTCCACAAATTTAGCGATTGCAATTTTCCTGCCCACAGATAACGACTCCCCCTTTATCAAACAGTGCCCCCAGCTTGGGCTTCCTCCACTCAGCCTCCTGATTGCAGATGCTCCTGATGGTTAGGCAGATAGACATCTGTACCACTCAGAAGCCATAAACTGCTTTAAATTTCTGTGTTTGAGAAAGAATGTAAAGGTGAGGCAACCACATTCACTGTTTTATTTAAGTAAGTTTGACTTAAAGTGTATTTTGTAGACCTAATTTAGTTTAGATAAAAACTGTAAGTTATAAGATCTTTAAAAAAAAGTTATGCAAAAGGTGAACTTAAATTTCAAGATGACCTGATCTAATTTTTCACAGTGCAGTGCTCTGCATATTTTGGTGCTTCCCCTGCTTTAACACTTCCACTTCAACTCAGTGAGTGGTTGCTAATGAGATGATTAGTTGGATCAAGTGTGTTGGTGTAGCGTTGTAGGCGAAGAGGCAGAGTTATTTTTACTAACATCAAATTTTACACAGTCTAGAATCTGATTAGCTGAAGCAGGTAAAAATATACATTGTAAAACAAATTAGACAAAGGAACGAAGGAAAACGCACAGGAGTAAAACACTGAATTAAACACAGATAAAGACAAATCTAAACAAAAAACCTACACAAAGATGAGTATTTACTATGAACAGAAACAAATGCTCACATATGCAATGCAAGCCAAAGAGCTCTGAGAAAACACAGGGGAATAAATGCACAAGGAACAGCCAAGAAACAACTGGGACTACAGACTACATGCAGGCTAGGGGAGGAGACAGACATCAAAACAACAACAAAAAGCACATAGTGAGGAAAAAGTGACAGACTGGACCAAGTGGTTGGCAACATGTGGCTCTTTTACTGCCCTGTTGCGGCTCTACAACAGAATTAGATTTTAGGTAAAAATAAAATAATCCTCCTTTGCAGTAAAATAAAGTTCTGCTGATTGTTCAAACAGTGTTAACAATAAATGGTCTTAAATGCTGGAGTTAATATATAACTGCTAATTCACCCTTTAATCCTGAAGATTGGTGCGCAGACTCCTGGTCACCATAGCAAAATATCAACAATCTCGCCTAGCTAGTAGCAAACAAAAAGGCAAAAAGAAAGATTAAAGATAAACATAGATAATTTGGAGACTAACAGACTTATTAGCATCTGTGATCACTTCAGCTTGTTTCCTAATACGTTTAATCTGCAACGAGAAACTGTCAAACACTAAAAAGTCGCAAAGCTTAAGTTGACTTCTTGTTCAGATTTCCCTGTTCCACCTTAAATGGTGCAGCAGTTACATTCTGGGACCTCAGGCACCATTTAAGGTGGAACAGGAAAATTCAAACAAGAAGCTGGCGAATGAGAAGCTGACTTCAGCCTCATAAAAAACTGAATGCTGAGAGACATTTTACAAGAAACTATTCTACTTCTGAGGAAAAGTTTCCTGCTGGAGATGAGGGAAAAGCAGCTATAGTTGAGCTAAAGCTTAAAGCAGAGCAACGTAAGCCTATACTAATACATTAGCACTCATACGGAATTGATATTACAGTGACAGCTTTGGAAAATGTTGCACATAATATTGTGTACAGACATCAGTGAATCACCATTCCATCCATTTTTGCACAATCCTCCCATAAAGTACAGCATCCTGTGCTTGATCCAAGTTAGCTAAGTGGGCTGTCTGTACTTTCACCTGAAGCGAACAATTCTAAAACAAAACTATTTGGAAGTGGACCTAATGAATTTATTTATCTGTTCATTAGACTGACAACTGACTGCTGATTCTGTTAGACTAATGCATTTGGAATTATATAATGATGCATTCAATCACATCAAGCACATAGCCATGCAATCTCTATAGGCAAACATTTGCAGTAGAATGGGTCTCAGTGAAGGACTTGGTGACTTTAAATATGTCACTGTCCTAGGATGCAACCTTTACCACAAGTCGGTTTGTGAAATTTCTTTCCTGCTAGATCTACCCTGTAAAAATGTAAGTGCTGTTATTGTAAAAAGGAAGCATTTACAAGAAACAACAGCTAAGCCACAAAGTGGAAATTACACAAACACAAAGCAGAGAAGCTGAGTGCTGAAGCACACAAGAACTTTGTCAGGAGCTTCATGAAATGGGATTCTATGGCCAAGCAGCCGTACAGAAGCCTAAGATCACTATGCACAATGCCAAGAGTGATGACTAGCACCCCACCACTGGACTGCTTCCAACTTTGAGGCAGCATTTTGGGGAAGACCCATTGCTGTTTCACTATTACTGTGCTCCTGTGCACAAAGTGATCTCCATAAAGACATGGTTTGATGAGTTTGCTGTGGAAGAACTCCAGTGGCCTGCACAGAGCCCTGACCTCGACCTCACTGAACACCTTTGGGACGAATTAGAACGTTGATTGCGAGCCAGACATTGTCATCCAACATCAGTGTCTGAGCTCACAACTGCTCTTTCGACTGAATGGAATGGGTACAAACTACCGCAGGCAACTCCAAAATCTTGTGGAAAGCTCGGACAGAAGAGTGGAAGGTGTCCACATACTTTTGACCATATAGTGTATTTGAGGCCTAATTGCATAAATCCATATAGTGTATTTGAGATTTGAAATAATTGCATACTTGGCTCCACTTACATTTGGTCATATAGCAAAACCTGAGGTCAATGATTATTTGTGTGAGACACAATAGCAGCTGCTTACGTCTCTCTTATGTCTTCTGTGGTTCTACCAGTTCCAGACTGTGCATGCCTTATTTGAACACCAAATTGTCTTCACTAAAATATTTGATGACTTTTTCAAATGGATGACAGACACATAAAGCGCAGACGATTATGTCACATATATTGTCTTATGAAATAGTCCAGTTTGCTTGCCTTTTATTAAGTAATGGTCATCTTAGTAATCAGTAATCAATGCTGAAATATATTTATACCAATGTGATGTAATTATGAAACATTATGAAACAAACTAGACAATCGATTGTAAACAAATATGAACAAATATGAATGTACTAAATCAGACAATATATTTGACTATTTATTCATCTGTTTATTAACCATCAGCACAGATCGACTTTTGCTCTCAAGTGACTGCCAGTTATCTGAAGCTATTACATGATATAATAAATATATTTCCACCTTAAGCAGGAATTTCACAGATTTTTCCAAATTTCTGCATAAGTAAAAGGGTAATATGTAAACAGAGTCATTCAGGGTGGTTTGTTGTGAAATGCTCTGTTCTAGAGAAACTTACAGATTGAGAATTCTTCACAGTGGTGGTGAAAGGAACCAGATGTCCACATCTAAAAGCTCCCTCACAGAAAGTTTTTACATGAAATGTCCGCTAATACATTGTCCAGGACTTTTGATATATTTGGTCTAAAATGTATTTTAAAAATCCATTCATGGTGGAGAGGTACATGTTGGGTGTTGTGAGGCAAAATAGTCCCCAAAGAAAACCTATATTTTTACAGATTTACCTCCATTTAACCATCATTAAAATTACATATAAAAACTCAGGAGACACGTGTAGGTTCACTGATGATTGTGGATAGTAAATAAAATGGCTATGTTTGTGTTGTAGTCATGGCAACACCTGGTTCCCATCACCACCACTGTAAAGAAAATTGAGTAAGTTTCTCTACAGTGAACCATTTCAAATCAAACTACTTCAAATTGCTTTGAATACATATCAACCACTGAATTATGCAGAAATTTAGAAAATTCAGTGGAATTCAATGAATTTTAATAAAGTCTAGAAATGAAATTCTGAAACAAAAAAACAGTGGTTTCATCTTTCTTAAACAAGTCCACAGGTTATTGCAGCATCACAAAAAAGCACCAGTGAGGTCACATCTTGTCCATTTGCATCACTGACTGGCAGCGGGTAAGAACAGACTTCTTCACACCTTCATTTCTGCATTTTTAACTAGCAAGTGGCAAATTTCTTGACCTAATTTTGTAAATAATGTGGAGTTTTTATGGAAACGTTGTCTGAAGGAGAAAAACAAAGTACAGCATCCTAGAATATAAGCTCAAGGTATGAATATGCATTCATAAAAGTATCTTTGCATTGAAGGATTTGGTTACTTCAAATATTTATATGCAAAAAGATTTGAGTGAACAGAATCTGATAAATTCCTCTACAATAAAGAAGTAAAATTAGGTCAGCACTTGAAATGTAACAAATCTGAACTATTTTTGCAGATTCTGAGATGTGAGGAATATGATGTCAGTATGAAATTATCAAAATTGATATACTAATGTAAACAAATATTATTAATGATCCAATTTAGCCAAGTGGGCTGTCTGTACTTGTACCAGAAACAAACAATTCTAAAATAACACTATTTGGAACTGGACCTAATGAATTTATTTATCTGTTAATTAGACTGAACAGAATCACTTTTACTCTCAACTGACTGCTGATTCTCTTAGGCTAATGTATTTGGAATTATATAATGTCTTAAGAAGTAATTTATTGTCTTAAGAAGTAATTAATCATGTAATAAACAGTATATATCCAACATGCCTGACACAAAACATGATGGCCAAATTTCTGTACTGAATATTTCTACTTCTCATGTAAATATACAGACAATATACAGGTGCATGCAGCTGCAGTTGGTAATATCTGTAAAGTGTTGATCAGCAGTAGCCACCTGAGGTCACTGGGAGGATAAGCTTCGTTTTAATATTTCAAAACATTAGGTTATTAAAAGGTACGAATGCATACCTGGGAAAAACCTACAAGGTACACCGTTGGACCTTAAGATCACAGTGCTAACTTTGAGGGTACATTTACATTGTTTGTACCTTGATTACCAAAACTTCACCTCTACAGTACATCCTCTTCTGACTGTGTAGGAAAGTGGGAAATGTCCAGAAAACATCTTAAACAAGTGTTGCAATCATATCTGTGTGTAAAAGGAGTATCCAGGAAAAGCCTAGTCCTTCATGAGCGACGGGTTGAGACTCATCACTTTGCAGGAAAATCAGCAAGTAATCCAAGTGTTCCTCAAGGAGCAACTGCAAGGATTTGTATTTTACAATATACAGTGCATAGTATCACCAAAAAATTCAGGATATCCAGAGAAATCTGTGCGTAAACGGCAAAGCCGATGTTGTTTATTAAGTAGCGATGATGTGTAGATGTTGTGAAGGACAACTCCTTTGACACTGTGTTGCTAGTAAAATGTTTATTACAAAGTAAAACAGCATCATATCAAGCACTATAAAGTACCTGAGAGAGGATCCGTGCCAATTCTAAATGTCCTCTCTTGAACAGAATATTCCAGCTGCTTATATAGTGGACTTGTTGAAACAGGAGACAGAACATATGGTCCTTTTTAAAATGATCTAATCTATGTGGAACTAAGAGAAGAAGGGAGAAAGTGAGAGGCCCACTCCCTATGGGGCCTTTTGGACCAGGGGGCCCCCTTAACCTAAACATTCTGAAACCTGCAAAAACATACCTGCAAAACAGAGCACACAGGGAACTCCTAGATACTTATACTCAACGTTAAGAGTGTTGTTGCCTTCTTTTATAGTTACTCTTCTAAATACACCTCACCGACAATCACAACTGAATATCCGCAAGCTTTGATCCCTCAGGTGGTGTTGCATTGAAAACCTTACCACACTGGCTCAATTTCAAAAGCCACCATCTGTCATGGTGGTGGTGTAATAGTGTCTGTGGCATATGTGCCATGTGGCACCACTCACACTGAAAGGCAAACCCTAATTAGGGAATTCAGGTGTTTCAGCCACACCTATTGCTAACAGGTCTATAAATTCAAGCATGTTGCCTTGCAATCTCCATAGACAAAGACTGGCAGTAGAGTATGTCATACTGAAGATCTTGCTGACTTTAAATGTGTCACTGTCACAGGATGTCACCTTTGCCACAAGTCAGTTTGTGAAAGTTTTGCCTTGCTAGATCTGCCTTGGTCAACACAAAGTGCTATTGTTGTGAAAAGGAGCAACAACAGCTCAGCTGCAAAGTGCTAAACCAAGCAACCTCACAGTGCAGGGCTGCCGAGTGCTAAAGCACGTACTACATCTATTGTCTGTTGCGTCACTCACTACAGAGTCCCAAACTGCCCCTGGAAGCAACGTCAGCACAAGAACTCTCATGAAATGGGTTTCCGTCTGAGCAGCTGCACACAAGCGTAAGATCACTATGTGCAATGCCAAGCGGCGGCTTGAGTGCAGAGTACTCCACCACTGGACTCTGGAGCAGTGGAAACATGTTCTCTGGAGTGATAATTCATGCTTCACTGGAATGCAACTGGCAGTGTGATGGACAAAATTGGTTTGGCGGAAGCCAGGAGAACGCTGTCTACTTGAATGCAGTGTCAACAGTACAGTTTGGTGGAGGAGGGATAATAATCTGGGGCTGTTGGATGAACTGGAATGTCAGTTGCAAGACCCTCTCATCCAACATCAGCGCCTGACCTCACAAATGCTCTTTTGACTGAATGGGCACAAATTTCCACAAACACATTCCGAAATCTTGTGGAAAGCCCTAACAAAACAGTGGGGGCTGTTATAGCAGCCACATGGGGGAGCCAACTCCATATTAATACCCATGATTTTGGAATGAGAAAGGATGTGAAAACTGTAGTTCATGCCTTCATAACCTCTGTTCTTGAGAACTTTAATACACTTTTCGTTGACCTTCTCTTTCTTACCATCAATAACTGGTAATAAAAATTCTGCAGCTAAAGTTTTTACACACACCAGTTGATGTACACTTATCACTCCTATCCTCAACAACTTGCCATTGCAACCAGTTACACTTCATATTGTTAACCATTTGCCTCCTCAGTCAGAGGTACTTAATCCTTACATGCTAGCCTTATATACTCTAGTCATAGTGTCCTTGCAGTCCTCGTGTTCCACCTCTCTTCCATGAACAGCAGATCAGTCAGTGGAATGGCATCTAAACTCTGGAATAATCTCCAACAGACCCTTGGTAGCATCTCCATCTCAACTTTCAAATCCTAGTTAAAGACTTACCTTCACTCTGCGTTATGCCTCACTTTCTGCTCTTATCTGGCTAAAACATGGTCATATTGCTTCTCCCCAGAATTATGTGTTATGTTTTGCTGTTTTGTTCTCTCATGGCCAAAATATCTGACATGCAGTTAAAATGTCGCTATTTCCACAGATTACTTACCCATATCAGCACCATGCAGTGGACAAGGGAAACGAGTGACCTGGTCCTGGCAGTGTATGGCATCACGCTGATCACAGGCCTTCCTGCCAACCTGCTGGCCTTCTACACCTTCGTCCAAAAAGTAAAGCAGAACGCCAAACCCATTGATGTGCTCTTGCTAAGTCTCAACATCTCGGACCTGATCTTCCTCTTCTTCCTCCCCTTACGGATGAAAGAGGCAGCCGACATGAAATGGAACATGAGCTACTTCCTTTGTTCAGTGTCGATTTTCATCTTCTTCACCACCATCTACAACAGCACCTTTCTCTTGACGGCTATCGGTGTGGAGCGCTACCTCGGAGTGGCCTTCCCGGTCAGGTACAAAATCAAGCGGAATCCTCGCCACGCGGTGACAGCAAGCGTCATGTTCTGGGTGATTTCCATTGTGCACTGCAGTGTTGTCTTTATTGTGCAGTATTATACCCCCACCAACACCACCATTCGACTCAAGCAAAACTCCTGCTATGGGGAGTTCAACAAAGAACAGATGACCATCCTCATGCCCTTCCGCCTGGAGCTGTTTGTGGTATTTTTCTGCGTCCCTTTCCTCATCTGCTGCTTCTGCTACATCAACTTTATCCTCATCCTCTCCCGACTACCCAACGTCAATCCCAAGAAGCGCTTCAGGGCGATTGGGCTCGCTCTTGGCACTCTCCTCGTCTTCATCGTCTGCTTCATGCCCTTTAGCATGACCCACTTGGTGGGTTTCATTGGTTGGTACAGTCCAAATTGGAGAGTGTACGCATTGCTCACCAGCACCTTTAACGCCTGTATGGACCCCTTTATCTTCTATTTCTCCTCTTCAGCACTCCGGGCAACGTTCAAACACTGCTTACAGGGACTAATCAAAAGGCTGTCCTGCTGTCCCAAAGCTCTGTGCTGCCCCAAGATGAACCGCTCCAGTGCTAAGGAGAACACACAAAGCTCCAGTGGCAGCTTTCACTAGATTCAGCATTAATTTTGGATTGCTCTTTTCCCTCATTTCTTTGTGAGAAAATGAAGATCAAGAATACCAGTAGACTGTTAACCAAGAGCAACCAGGATGAAACCCCAAAACTAAATTGATCATGTATGTCCTTGAACAGTGACCACAGGATCAAAACTCCAGCTCTGATGCCTACAGTGCTCCAAACTACAGCTTATCAAAGTTTGTGATCTGTCCTGTAGCTATGCGCATGTTTGAAAAAAAAAGATTTATAGAAAGTTTTAAAGATGTAAAGAACCTTCACATAATATAAATGTCCTATACAAATGTAAGGGCTCTTAGAACATATTATGTGGAATTTCCTTAAATTTTAACAGTTCTTTATTTTCTTCACCCAGTTTAGAAGAGTGTTGTGTGGTTTAGTATGTGTTATTGTGTACTCTGCATCTGTTCAATTCATGCAAATTTATTGTTTGTGTATATTTTTATGTAAACTTTGCGGAGAATTGAAAGCTATATAAACTAGAGGTCAGTTCAGGGCTGACACATCACAGGCCAAAATTTCTTTCTTTGACAGTTTCTACCAACATGGCACAAGGTTATCAGCCAACACGGCAACAGTTAAGCAATTGTTCACAGTTGTGTATCTTGAGAAATGAAAGAAGCAGACAGCAGAAATGGTTGTGGTCATAGTTTTGTTCCGTCTTCTGCTGAAATCATCTTACAAAATACTTTGCTGATCTCCTGGAAACACATGAACCCAAAAGGCCTCTCCAATCACTTGGGACCGGTCAGTTATTAGTGCCCAGAATCAGAATCAAACAGGGTGAGGCAGCATTCAGTCACTATGCTGCCAACTGTGGGAACAAACTCCCAGATGAGATTTTATTGTCTTTTATTATTGTCTTTGTACTTTGAGCTATGTACTTTGTACCTTCTTTCAATTAACTACCTTTGCAAAGGCCTTTCTAAGGTGCTTGATTTTGGGATGTGATAAACTCCCTTGTTTTTACTGCACTTTATAGCACTATTTTAATTTCTTTTAATCCCTTATTTTATTTTGCGGGTTGTGTAAAGCACTTTGAATTGCCAGTGTGTATAAAAGATGCTATACAAATAAACTTGCCCTGTCTTACGTTGTGGTATACTGCCCCCACTGTTCATGTTGGTATTGCATTTTGCACAAGCATTGCATTCATTTCTGAGGATGTTCCCAAGCAAAGCTATAAAGGCCATCAATCCTACATGTAGTTAAAATCAAGAACATCCCAAGATCAGAGCACAAAAAAGCCAAGTATTCCATTACAGAAAAAACAAGGTTTAAAGTGAGTTCTTCAGTAAAAATTTCAATCTAAAGCTGACCTTTATTGAAGCCAGTATCCTCTCTTTCAATAGCCATGGTCACATGCAGCCTGATAATCCATTAATAATCCAACAAATAGCTCAATTCTAATAGAATACATCCATGTATAGGCCAGTCGGAATAGACTAGTCTGATTCTCCATTCGGAATACAATTTCTATCCGATCGAACTAGATGGGTAATCGCGTAAATAATCCGTTAAATAGAAGAATAATAGCCGTGTAAACACCTTTATCTGATTACATTCCCAATCAGAAATTTTAAGTACATTCTGCGCATGTGCGTTACATCATAGCAAAAGTTTGTAACATTCAACATGGAGGGAGCAGAAACTGGTCTGCAGAGGAGACGAAGTTTATGCCTTGAGCTTTAAAAGATGGAGGTGGGACGGGCGTCCAGAGTCTTCCTCTCGCCCTTCTTTAATAAGCACATGTGAAGTATGTTTTCCTGAGTCTGACATTTTAAAGTATTTTAAAACACAAGTACTGCTCACTGCTGCTCATCTCACTGACTGGACACACGTGATGCTCGTTGTCATGGGAACATGTACACTAAGTGGTTCTCTACGCATGTGCGTGATTTTGGATCAGTTTACTTGTGGTGTGCATATAAACGGAGATTTTCCATCAGATTGTTGAGTAGAGTGAGCATAAAAACACCTCAGTCTTCTTCTATAATCGGAATGTATTCAATTGGATTGGCAAAAATCTTTGCACATAAAAATAGCCAGTGATGCACACATTTGAGGCCTAATAGCGCACCCTTGTGGACAGCATTTTAGGCATATGTCGTTTAACATACTACCAGCTGGCCTACACCATGATATCCCACTGAACTTACACTGTACACTGTACAAATTTGTCATTTTTAGGTTTTAAATTGTCTTCAAATCACACTTCAAATGGCACTTCAAATGACTTTGAATACATCTCAACCACTGAATTATGCAGAAATTTAGAAAATTCAGTGGAATTCAGTGAATTCTAACGAAGTCTAGAAATGAAATTCTGAAAAAACAGTGGTTTCATCTTTCTTAAACAAGTCTGCAGGTTATTGCAGCATCACAAAAAAGCACTAGCGAGGTCACATCTTGTCCATTTGCATCACTAACTAGCAGCGGGTAAGAACAGACTTCTTCACACCTTCATTTCTGCATTTTTAACTGTCAAGTAGCAAATTTCTTGACCTAAATTTATAAATAATTTTGGGTTTTTATGGAAAAGTTGCCTGAGGGAGAAAAACAAAGTACAGCATCCTAGAATTTAAGCTCAATGTATGAATATGCATTCATAAAAGTATCTTTGCATTGAAAGATTTGGTTAGTTCAAAAATGTATATGCAAAAAGATTTAAGTGAACAGAATCTGATAAATTCTTCTACAATAAAGAAGTAGAATTAAGTCAGCACTTGAAATCTAATGAATCTGAACTATTTTTGCAGATTCTGAAATGTGAGGAATATGATGTCAGTATGAAATTATCAAAATTGATATATTAATGTGAACAAATACTATAGGTGTTCCAAGATAGCCAAGTGGGCTGTCTAAACTTGCACCAGAAACAGTATTTATACTATTTGGAAGTGGACCTAATGAATGTATTCATCTGTTCATTGGACTGATAGCGCAGAATAACTTTAACTGTTGATTCTGTTAGACTAATGCATTTGAATAATGATGTCTTAACAAGTCATTTAATCATGTAATAAACAGTATATATCCAACATATCTGATTCAAAACATGATGGCCAAATTTCTGTACTGAATATTTCTACTTCTCATGTAAATATACAGACAATATACAGGTGCATACAGCTGCAGTTGGTAATATCTGTAAAGTGTTGATCAGCAGTAGCCACCTGAGGTCACTGGGAGGATTAAAACATCTTGCATAAGCTTCGTTTTAATATTTCAAAACAGGTTATTAAAAGGTACGAATGCATACCTGGGAAAAACCTACAAGGTACACCGTTGGACCTTAAGATCACAGTGCTAACTTTGAGGGTACATTTACGTTGTTTGTACCTTGATTACATCTTAAACAAGTGTTGCAATCATATCTGTGTGTAAAAGGAGCATCCAGGAAAAGCCTAGTCCTTCATGAGCGACGGGTTGAGACTCATCACTTTGCAGGAAAATCAGCAAGAAATCTGACAGTGTTCCTCAAGGAGCAACTGCAAGGATTTGTATTTTACAATATACAGTGCATAGTATCAGCAAAAAATTCAGGATATCCAGAGAAATCTCTGTGCGTAAACGGCAAAGCTGACAATCACAACAGAATATCCTCAAGCTTTGATCCTACAGATTGTGTCGCATTAACAACCTCACCATGCCGGCTCAATTTCAAAAGCCACTATTTGTCATGGTGGTGGTGTAATAGTGTCTGTGGCATATGTGCCATGTGGCACCACTCACACTGAAAGACAAACCCTAATTAGGGAATTCAGGTGTTTCAGCCACACCTATTGCTAACAGGTCTATAAATTCAAGCATGTTGCCTTGCAATCTCCATAGACAAAGACTGGCAGTAGAGTATGTCATACTGAAGATCTTGCTGACTTTAAATGTGTCACTGTCACAGGATGTCACCTTTGCCACAAGTCAGTTTGTGAAAGTTTTGCCTTGCTAGATCTGCCTTGGTAAACACAAAGTGCTATTGTTGTGAAAAGGAGCAACAACAGCTCAGCTGCAAAGTGCTAAACCAAGCAACCTCACAGTGCAGGGCTGCCGAGTGCTAAAGCACGTACTACGTCTATTGTCTGTTGCGTCACTCACTACAGAGTCCCAAACTGACCCTGGAAGCAACGTCAGCACAAGAACTCTCATGAAATGGGTTTCCGTCTGAGCAGCTGCACACAAGCATAAGATCACTATGTGCAATGCCAAGCGGCGGCTTGAGTGCAGAGTACTCCACCACTGGACTCTGGAGCAGTGGAAACATGTTCTCTGGAGTGATAAATCATGCTTCACTGGAATGCAACAGGCAGTGTGATGGACAAAATTGGTTTGGCGGAAGCCAGGAGAATGCTGTCTACCTGAATGCAGTGTCAACAGTACAGTTTGGTGGAGGAGGGATAATGGTCTGGGGCTGTTGGATGAACTGGAATGTCAGTTGCAAGACCCTCTCATCCAACATCAGTGCCTGACCTCACAAATGCTCTTTTGACTGCTGTACATTTATCACCCTCATCCTTGACAACTTGCCATGGCAACCAGTTACACTTCACATTGTTAACCATTTGCCTCCTCAGTCAGAGGTACTCAATCCTTACATGCTAGCCTTATATACTCTAGTCATAGTGTCCTTGCAGTCCTCGAGTTCCACCTCTCTTCCATGAACAGCAGATCAGTCAGTGGAATGGCATCTAAACTCTGGAATAATCTCCAACAGACCCTTGGTAGCATCTCCATCTCAACTTTCAAATCCTAGTTAAAGACTTACCTTCACTCTGCGTTACGCCTCACTTTCTGCTCTTATCTGTCTAAATTATGCTCATATCACTTCTCCCCAGCATTAAGTTTTATGTTATATCTGACATGCAGTTAAAATGTCGCTATTTCCACAGATTACTTACCCATATCAGCACCATGCAGTGGACAAGGGAAACGAGTGACCTGGTCCTGGCAGTGTATGGCATCACGCTGATCACAGGCCTTCCTGCCAACCTGCTGGCCTTCTACACCTTCGTCCAAAAAGTAAAGCAGAACGCCAAACCCATTGATGTGCTCTTGCTAAGTCTCAACATCTCAGACCTGATCTTCCTCTTCTTCCTCCCCTTACGGATGAAAGAGGCAGCCGACATGAAATGGAACATGAGCTACTTCCTTTGTTCAGTGTCGATTTTCATCTTCTTCACCACCATCTACAACAGCACCTTTCTCTTGACGGCTATCGGTGTGGAGCGCTACCTCGGAGTGGCCTTCCCGGTCAGGTACAAAATCAAGCGGAATCCTCGCCACGCGGTGACAGCAAGCGTCATGTTCTGGGTGATTTCCATTGTGCACTGCAGTGTTGTCTTTATTGTGCAGTATTATTCCCCCACCAACACCACCATTCGACTCAAGCAAAACTCCTGCTATGGGGAGTTCAACAAAGAACAGATGACCATCCTCATGCCCTTCCGCCTGGAGCTGTTTGTGGTATTTTTCTGCGTCCCTTTCCTCATCTGCTGCTTCTGCTACATCAACTTTATCCTCATCCTCTCCCGACTACCCAACGTCAATCCCAAGAAGCGCTTCAGGGCGATTGGGCTCGCTCTTGGCACTCTCCTCGTCTTCATCGTCTGCTTCATGCCCTTTAGCATGACCCACTTGGTGGGTTTCATTGGTTGGTACAGTCCAAATTGGAGAGTGTACGCATTGCTCACCAGCACCTTTAACGCCTGTATGGACCCCTTTATCTTCTATTTCTCCTCTTCAGCACTCCGGGCAACGTTCAAACACTGCTTACAGGGACTAATCAAAAGGCTGTCCTGCTGTCCCAAAGCTCTGTGCTGCCCCAAGATGAACCGCTCCAGTGCTAAGGAGAACACACAAAGCTCCAGCGGCAGCTTTCACTTGATTCAGCATTAATTTTGGATTGCTCTTTTCCCTCATTTCTTTGTGAGAAAATGAAGATCAAGAATACCAGTAGACTGTTAACCAAGAGCAACCAGGATGAAACCCCAAAACTAAATTGATCATGTATGTCCTTGAACAGTGACCACAGGATCAAAACTCCAGCTCTGATGCCTACAGTGCTCCAAACTACAGCTTATCAAAGTTTGTGATCTGTCCTGTAGCTATGCGCATGTTTGAAAAAAAAAGATTTATAGAAAGTTTTAAAGATGTAAAGAACCTTCACATAATATAAATGTCCTATACAAATGTAAGGGCTCTTAGAACATATTATGTGGAATTTCCTTAAATTTTAACAGTTCTTTATTTTCTTCACCCAGTTTAGAAGAGTGTTGTGTGGTTTAGTATGTGTTATTGTGTACTCTGCATCTGTTCAATTCATGCAAATTTATTGTTTGTGTATATTTTTATGTAACCTTTGCGGAGAATTGAAAGCTATATAAACTAGAGGTCAGTTCAGGGCTGACACATCACAGGCCAAAATTTCTTTCTTTGACAGTTTCTACCAACATGGCACAAGGTTATCAGCCAACACGGCAACAGTTAAGCAATTGTTCACAGTTGTGTATCTTGAGAAATGAAAGAAGCAGACAGCAGAAATGGTTGTGGTCATAGTTTTGTTCCGTCTTCTGCTGAAATCATCTTACAAAATACTTTGCTGATCTCCTGGAAACACATGAACCCAAAAGGCCTCTCCAATCACTTGGGACCGGTCAGTTATTAGTGCCCAGAATCAGAATCAAACAGGGTGAGGCAGCATTCAGTCACTATGCTGCCAACTGTGGGAACAAACTCCCAGATGAGATTTTATTGTCTTTTATTATTGTCTTTGTACTTTGAGCTATGTACTTTGTACCTTCTTTCAATTAACTACCTTTGCAAAGGCCTTTCTAAGGTGCTTGATTTTGGGATGTGATAAACTCCCTTGTTTTTACTGCACTTTATAGCACTATTTTAATTTCTTTTAATCCCTTATTTTATTTTGCGGGTTGTGTAAAGCACTTTGAATTGCCAGTGTGTATAAAAGATGCTATACAAATAAACTTGCCCTGTCTTACGTTGTGGTATACTGCCCCCACTGTTCATGTTGGTATTGCATTTTGCACAAGCATTGCATTCATTTCTGAGGATGTTCCCAAGCAAAGCTATAAAGGCCATCAATCCTACATGTAGTTAAAATCAAGAACATCCCAAGATCAGAGCACAAAAAAGCCAAGTATTCCATTACAGAAAAAACAAGGTTTAAAGTGAGTTCTTCAGTAAAAATTTCAATCTAAAGCTGACCTTTATTGAAGCCAGTATCCTCTCTTTCAATAGCCATGGTCACATGCAGCCTGATAATCCATTAATAATCCAACAAATAGCTCAATTCTAATAGAATACATCCATGTATAGGCCAGTCGGAATAGACTAGTCTGATTCTCCATTCGGAATACAATTTCTATCCGATCGAACTAGATGGGTAATCGCGTAAATAATCCGTTAAATAGAAGAATAATAGCCGTGTAAACACCTTTATCTGATTACATTCCCAATCAGAAATTTTAAGTACATTCTGCGCATGTGCGTTACATCATAGCAAAAGTTTGTAACATTCAACATGGAGGGAGCAGAAACTGGTCTGCAGAGGAGACGAAGTTTATGCCTTGAGCTTTAAAAGATGGAGGTGGGACGGGCGTCCAGAGTCTTCCTCTCGCCCTTCTTTAATAAGCACATGTGAAGTATGTTTTCCTGAGTCTGACATTTTAAAGTATTTTAAAACACAAGTACTGCTCACTGCTGCTCATCTCACTGACTGGACACACGTGATGCTCGTTGTCATGGGAACATGTACACTAAGTGGTTCTCTACGCATGTGCGTGATTTTGGATCAGTTTACTTGTGGTGTGCATATAAACGGAGATTTTCCATCAGATTGTTGAGTAGAGTGAGCATAAAAACACCTCAGTCTTCTTCTATAATCGGAATGTATTCAATTGGATTGGCAAAAATCTTTGCACATAAAAATAGCCAGTGATGCACACATTTGAGGCCTAATAGCGCACCCTTGTGGACAGCATTTTAGGCATATGTCGTTTAACATACTACCAGCTGGCCTACACCATGATATCCCACTGAACTTACACTGTACACTGTACAAATTTGTCATTTTTAGGTTTTAAATTGTCTTCAAATCACACTTCAAATGGCACTTCAAATGACTTTGAATACATCTCAACCACTGAATTATGCAGAAATTTAGAAAATTCAGTGGAATTCAGTGAATTCTAACGAAGTCTAGAAATGAAATTCTGAAAAAACAGTGGTTTCATCTTTCTTAAACAAGTCTGCAGGTTATTGCAGCATCACAAAAAAGCACTAGCGAGGTCACATCTTGTCCATTTGCATCACTAACTAGCAGCGGGTAAGAACAGACTTCTTCACACCTTCATTTCTGCATTTTTAACTGTCAAGTAGCAAATTTCTTGACCTAAATTTATAAATAATTTTGGGTTTTTATGGAAAAGTTGCCTGAGGGAGAAAAACAAAGTACAGCATCCTAGAATTTAAGCTCAATGTATGAATATGCATTCATAAAAGTATCTTTGCATTGAAAGATTTGGTTAGTTCAAAAATGTATATGCAAAAAGATTTAAGTGAACAGAATCTGATAAATTCTTCTACAATAAAGAAGTAGAATTAAGTCAGCACTTGAAATCTAATGAATCTGAACTATTTTTGCAGATTCTGAAATGTGAGGAATATGATGTCAGTATGAAATTATCAAAATTGATATATTAATGTGAACAAATACTATAGGTGTTCCAAGATAGCCAAGTGGGCTGTCTAAACTTGCACCAGAAACAGTATTTATACTATTTGGAAGTGGACCTAATGAATGTATTCATCTGTTCATTGGACTGATAGCGCAGAATAACTTTAACTGTTGATTCTGTTAGACTAATGCATTTGAATAATGATGTCTTAACAAGTCATTTAATCATGTAATAAACAGTATATATCCAACATATCTGATTCAAAACATGATGGCCAAATTTCTGTACTGAATATTTCTACTTCTCATGTAAATATACAGACAATATACAGGTGCATACAGCTGCAGTTGGTAATATCTGTAAAGTGTTGATCAGCAGTAGCCACCTGAGGTCACTGGGAGGATTAAAACATCTTGCATAAGCTTCGTTTTAATATTTCAAAACAGGTTATTAAAAGGTACGAATGCATACCTGGGAAAAACCTACAAGGTACACCGTTGGACCTTAAGATCACAGTGCTAACTTTGAGGGTACATTTACGTTGTTTGTACCTTGATTACATCTTAAACAAGTGTTGCAATCATATCTGTGTGTAAAAGGAGCATCCAGGAAAAGCCTAGTCCTTCATGAGCGACGGGTTGAGACTCATCACTTTGCAGGAAAATCAGCAAGAAATCTGACAGTGTTCCTCAAGGAGCAACTGCAAGGATTTGTATTTTACAATATACAGTGCATAGTATCAGCAAAAAATTCAGGATATCCAGAGAAATCTCTGTGCGTAAACGGCAAAGCTGACAATCACAACAGAATATCCTCAAGCTTTGATCCTACAGATTGTGTCGCATTAACAACCTCACCATGCCAGCTCAATTTCAAAAGCCACTATTTGTCATGGTGGTGGTGTAATAGTGTCTGTGGCATATGTGCCATGTGGCACCACTCACACTGAAAGACAAACCCTAATTAGGGAATTCAGGTGTTTCAGCCACACCTATTGCTAACAGGTCTATAAATTCAAGCATGTTGCCTTGCAATCTCCATAGACAAAGACTGGCAGTAGAGTATGTCATACTGAAGATCTTGCTGACTTTAAATGTGTCACTGTCACAGGATGTCACCTTTGCCACAAGTCAGTTTGTGAAAGTTTTGCCTTGCTAGATCTGCCTTGGTAAACACAAAGTGCTATTGTTGTGAAAAGGAGCAACAACAGCTCAGCTGCAAAGTGCTAAACCAAGCAACCTCACAGTGCAGGGCTGCCGAGTGCTAAAGCACGTACTACGTCTATTGTCTGTTGCGTCACTCACTACAGAGTCCCAAACTGACCCTGGAAGCAACGTCAGCACAAGAACTCTCATGAAATGGGTTTCCGTCTGAGCAGCTGCACACAAGCATAAGATCACTATGTGCAATGCCAAGCGGCGGCTTGAGTGCAGAGTACTCCACCACTGGACTCTGGAGCAGTGGAAACATGTTCTCTGGAGTGATAAATCATGCTTCACTGGAATGCAACAGGCAGTGTGATGGACAAAATTGGTTTGGCGGAAGCCAGGAGAATGCTGTCTACCTGAATGCAGTGTCAACAGTACAGTTTGGTGGAGGAGGGATAATGGTCTGGGGCTGTTGGATGAACTGGAATGTCAGTTGCAAGACCCTCTCATCCAACATCAGTGCCTGACCTCACAAATGCTCTTTTGACTGCTGTACATTTATCACCCTCATCCTTGACAACTTGCCATGGCAACCAGTTACACTTCACATTGTTAACCATTTGCCTCCTCAGTCAGAGGTACTCAATCCTTACATGCTAGCCTTATATACTCTAGTCATAGTGTCCTTGCAGTCCTCGAGTTCCACCTCTCTTCCATGAACAGCTGATCAGTCAGTGGAATGGCATCTAAACTCTGGAATAATCTCCAACAGACCCTTGGTAGCATCTCCATCTCAACTTTCAAATCCTAGTTAAAGACTTACCTTCACTCTGCGTTATGCCTCACTTTCTGCTCTTATCTGTCTAAATTATGCTCATATCACTTCTCCCCAGCATTAAGTTTTATGTTATATCTGACATGCAGTTAAAATGTCGCTATTTCCACAGATTACTTACCCATATCAGCACCATGCAGTGGACAAGGGAAACGAGTGACCTGGTCCTGGCAGTGTATGGCATCACGCTGATCACAGGCCTTCCTGCCAACCTGCTGGCCTTCTACACCTTCGTCCAAAAAGTAAAGCAGAACGCCAAACCCATTGATGTGCTCTTGCTAAGTCTCAACATCTCGGACCTGATCTTCCTCTTCTTCCTCCCCTTACGGATGAAAGAGGCAGCCGACATGAAATGGAACATGAGCTACTTCCTTTGTTCAGTGTCGATTTTCATCTTCTTCACCACCATCTACAACAGCACCTTTCTCTTGACGGCTATCGGTGTGGAGCGCTACCTCGGAGTGGCCTTCCCGGTCAGGTACAAAATCAAGCGGAATCCTCGCCACGTGGTGACAGCAAGCGTCATGTTCTGGGTGATTTCCATTGTGCACTGCAGTGTTGTCTTTATTGTGCAGTATTATTCCCCCACCAACACCACCATTCGACTCAAGCAAAACTCCTGCTATGGGGACTTCAACAAAGAACAGATGACCATCCTCATGCCCTTCCGTCTGGAGATGTTTGTGGTATTTTTCTGTGTCCCTGTCATCATCTGCTGCTTCTGCTACATCAACTTTATCCTCATCCTCTCCCGACTACCCAACGTCAATCCCAAGAAGCGCTTCAGGGCGATCGGGCTCGCTCTTGGCACTCTCCTCGTCTTCATCGTCTGCTTCATGCCCTACAACGTATCCCATGTGGTGGGTTTCATTGGTTGGCACAGTCCAGATTGGAGAGTGTACGCTTTGCTCACCAGCACCTTTAACGCCTGTATGGACCCCTTTATCTTCTATTTCTCCTCTTCAGCACTCCGTGCAACGTTCAAACACTGCTTACAGGGACTAATCAAAAGGCTGTCCTGCTGTCCCAAAGCTCTGTGTTGCCCCCAGATGAACCGCTCCAGTGCTAAGGAGAACACACAAAGCTCCAGCGGCAGCTTTCACTAGATTCAGCATTAATTTTGGATTTCTCTTTTCCCTCATTTCTTTGTGAGAAAATGAAGATCAAGAATACCAGTAGACTGTTAACCAAGAGCAACCAGGATGAAACCCCAAAACTAAATTGATCATGTATGTCCTTGAACAGTGACCACAGGATCAAAACTCCAGCTCTGATGCCTACAGTGCTCCAAACTACAGCTTATCAAAGTTTGTGATCTGTCCTGTAGCTATGCGCATGTTTGAAAAAAAAGATTTATAGAAAGTTTTAAAGATGTAAAGAACCTTCACATAATATAAAGGTTCAAATGTAAGGGCTCTTAGAACACATTATCTGGAATTTCTTTAAATTCTAACAAAGTTCTTTATGTTCTTCACAAGTTTAGAAGAGGTGTTGTGTGGTTTCATATTTTTCCTGTCGTAATTGAGTAATAAAAACTTTTAAAAATATTAAACACTATTATTCTTTATTCAATTATGTGTTATTGTGCACTGTTCACTTCATACAAATTTGTTGTTTGTGTACTTTTTATGTAACTTTTGTGTCAACTTTTCTGACAGTTGTTTAGTTGTTTGTCTTGAGAAAACGAAAGAAACAGACTGCAGAAATGGTTGTGGTCATAGTTTTGTTCTGTCTTCTGCTGAAATCATAGTACAAAATACTTTGCTGATCTCCTGGAAACACATGAACCCAAAAGGCCTCTCCAATCACTTGGGACCGGTCAGTTATTAGTGCCCAGAATCAGAACCAAACAGGGTGAGGCAGCATTTCAGTCACTATGCTGCCAACTGCTGGAACAAACTCCCCGATGAGGTTAGATATACTCCAACCATTTTTAAGTCCAGACTGAAAATGTTCTTGTTTTCTTGTGCCTTTGTTCAGCACTGCACTTTCTCTTTTAAGCCCTTATTTTAGGTGCTATTTTGTCTTTTATTTTTAGCTCTTTAAGTTAAAATGTTCCCTGCACTTTATTTTATTGTCTTTTATTATTGTCTTTGTACTTTGAGCTATGTACTTTGTACCTTCTTTCAATTAACTATCTTTGCAAAGGCCTTTCTAAGGTGCTTGATTTTGAGATTTGATAAACTCCCTTGTTTTTACTGCACTTTATAGCACTATTTTAATTTCTTTTAATCCCTTATTTTATTTGTGTTGTGTAAAGCACTTTGAATTGCCAGTGTGTATAAAAGATGCTATACAAATAAACTTGCCCTGTCTTACATTGTGGTATACTGCCCCCACTGTTCATGTTGGTATTGCATTTCGCACAAGCATTGCATTCATTTCTGAGGATGTTCCCAAGCAAAGCTATAAAGGCCATCAATCCTACATGTAGTTAAAATCAAGAACATCCCAAGATCAGAGCACAAAAAAGCCAACTATTCCATTACAAAAAAAACAAGGTTTAAAGTGAGTTCTTCAGTAAAAATTTCAATCTTAAGCTAACCTTTATTGAAGCCAGTATCCTCTCCTTCAATAGCCATGGTCACATGCAGCCTGATAATCCATTAATAATCCAACAAATCGCTCAATTCTAATAGAATACGTCCATGTATAGGCCAGTTGGAATAGACTAGTCTGATTGTGGCCATTTGGAATACAATTTCTGTCCGACTGAACGAGGTGGGTAATCGCATAAATAATCTGTTAAATTGAATAATAGCCGTGTAAACACCTGTATCCGATTACATTCCCAATCAGAAAGTTTAAGTATGTTCTGCGCATGTGCGTTACATCATAGCGAAAATTTATAATGTTCAACATGGAGGGAGCAGAAACTGGTCTGCAGAGGAGACGAAGTTTATGCCTTGAGCTTTAAAAGACGGCAGTGGGACGGGCGTCCAGAGTCTTCCTCTCGCCCTTCTTTAATAAGCACATGTGAAGTATGTTTTCCTGAGTCTGACATTTTAAAGTAATTAAAAACACAAGTACTGCTCACTGCTGCTCATCTCACTTTGACTGGACACACGTGATACTTGTTGTCATGGTAACATGTACACTAAGCAGTGCTCTATGCATGTGCGTGATTTTGGATCAGTTTACTTGTGGTGTGCATATAAACGGAGATTTTCCATCAGATTGTTGAGTAGAGTGAGCATAAAAACACCTCAGTCTTCTTCTATAATTGGAATGTATTCAATTGGATTGGCAAATATCTTTGCACATAAAAATAGCCAGTGATGCACACATTTGAGGCCTAATAGCGCACCCTTGTGGACAGCATTTTAGGCATATGTCGTTTAACATACTACCAGCTGGCCTACACAATGATATCCCACTGAACTTACACTGTACACTGTACAAATTTGTCATTTTTAGGTTTTAAATATTTTCATATTTTGTTCCGTTTAAAAATGGCCATTTAGCTAAACATGATATCAATAACTATTTGTGTGAGAGACAATAGCAGCTGCTTACATCTCCACCTCCTCTGTGGTTCTAATGGTTCTATCTGCTGCTTAGACAGAACAAGAACTTACATGATAAAACATTATTTATTCACTTATTTTTTTTAACTTCAAACCATACATGCCCTATTTCAACACTCACTGAAATATTTCATGACGTTTTGCCAAATTAATGTATACATAGTGCACATAAGGTGGAGGCAGTTATATATTCACATAGATTGTTTTACGGGCAGTCGTGGGCTGGAGGTAACGGAACCAGCCCTGTGACCAGAAGATTGCCAGTTTGAGCCCCTGAGCCGACAGTACGTGACTGAAGTGCCCTTGATCAAGACACCTAACCCCCAGCTGCTCCCTGGGTGCTGTGGATAGGGCTGCCCACCACTCCAGGCAAGTGTGCTCACTGCCCCCTAGTGTGTGTGCACTCATTAGTGTGTATGTGGTGTTTCACTGCATGGATGGGTTAAATGCGGAGGTGGAATTTCCCCGTTGTGGGACTAATAAGGGTCACTTAATCTTAACAAAATAAACCAGTTTGTTTGCAGTAATCAGGGCTGGAATATATTTATGCAAATTCTGAAATGGGGGAACTGATCAAAGTGATGTAATTATGGAACATTATGAAACAAACTAGACAAATGAATGTAAACAGATTTATGAAAATACTATGTGTTCAAAGTTAGCCAATATATATGAGTGATATGAGCACCCTAAATAATATTATATGGTAGTAAATCTAATTTATTTATTTGCTCTATTTATTGGACCATCAGCGCAGAACCACTTTTACTCTAAAATGAATGCTGATTGTGTTAAGCTATTACATTAAAATTATATAATTTTATCTAATTCTGCCTTAGAGTGAAATTCCACCAATTTTTCTTCATATCATGTCTCAATAATTAAAGATGTAAACAAAGTCATTCAGAGTGGTTTGGTGTGAAAAGCTCTGTTCTAGAGAAAAGAGTCAGAATGTTTACCAGACGACTTAAGTGTCTAATGCCTCTAAAAGCTCCCACACGGAGAGTTCTTACAAGAAATGGTCACATATACACTGCCTGAGGCTTGAGGCCTTGTTGAACAATACTTTTGATCTCATATATTTGGCCTAAAATATTTTTTTGAAACCTTTCATGGTAGAGATGAACATGCAGGGTGTTGTGAAGTAAAAAAGTCCCCAGAGCATGACCCCTGGTTCCTATCACCACCACTGTAAAATAATGTGAGTTGGTACGTTTATTTACAATGAACTGTTTCACATCAAGCCACTCTGAATGATTTTGCTTATATCTTAACCACTGAGTTATGCAGAAATATGAATGATCATTATCAATATTACCATGTCAGTGACACTCCAGTGCTGAGAATGACCCACTACCCAAATAATACCTGCTCTGTGGGGGTCCTGTGGGGGTCCTGACCATTGAAGAACAGGGTAACAAAGTAGGCAGAGAAACAGATGGACTATAGTCTGTAATTGTAGAACGACAAAGTGCTCCTCTATGGATAAAATGGACAATGAGTGTAAAAACAAGGATGTGGTTTTTGTGGATGGTCAGTGTAGTAATCAGCACTGAAACACATTTTAAAAAACTCTCCCGAGCCTGCTTAATTACACAGTCCAGTCCAATTAGAAAACAAATAGTATGGCCAGCTAAAGTATTCTGTAATGAATTCTAATAAAGTCTAGAGATGAAATCCTGGACTGTGGTTTCTATGTACTTGGTTAACACAAGTGAAATGGAAAAGAGCACGAAAAAATGCAAAAGGGGAAGTAAAGCTTCTTATTCATCAGTCTGCGTCACTACAACATCATTAAAAAGGGCAATAATGTTGTCACATCTCAGCCATTAGTGTCACTGACTGGCAATAGGTAAGAACATGATTCTTCACACTTTCACTTCTATATTTTTAAGTGTAAAACATTTACTGCATAAATAGCAAACATCTTGACTTAGATAAATAAAGTGAAAAAATAAAGTTTTTTTTCTGAATTTTCATTGATAAAAGTGTCATTAAGTATATTTTGCTACCTTTTAGCAATGCAAGCAGATGTGAAAGGATTCATTCTGTGTGTGTGTGTGTGTGTGTGTGTGTGTGTGTGTGTGTGTATAATGTGTGTATGTATAATGTGAAATTATTATGAAACATTATGAAGCAATGAAACTAGAGAAAGTCATGCAAACAAATATGTACAAATGTTATGGGTAGTGGAAGTTTGCTAACTAGGCTCTGGGTATTTTAACATATATATCAGCAATATGAATATGCTGAAATAACACTCCTTGGAAGTAAATCTAATTAATTTGTTCATCTATTTCTTGGAACATGAGCACAGACCCACTTCCCTTTCAAATGACCACTGATTATGTTAAGCTAATACACTTTTAACTGATGTAATTATGCTTTAAGAAATAGAAATCATGTAATGAGGAATATATATCAAAACTTTCAGATGCAAAACAACAGAAATACATTTCTATACTGAATGGATAGAAAATATGTTACTTCTTCTGAAACTAACTGCAGTAGGAAATATCTGTAAACCTCTGACCTCATCTGATGTTCCAGGAAACTGCTCACTGTTCATAAACAGGAAA